ACAATTCTGACAAAATCACAATTTAATCTGAACAAGTACATATAGAACAAAAAATACTTTATTAAAGCAAAATCAGAATTTAATCCGAACATTTTACAATTAAACTTCTGACAAAATCAGAATTTAATCTGAACGAGCTTCAAAACAAAAGTTATTTTATTAAAACAAAATCAGAATTTAATTTAAACAATTTACTAATTAAATTAAAACAAACATTTCTTACTCAAACATTTTCTGATATTTTTAATTATATTTTATTTAAAGGATGTTGTTTTTGCTTGTTTGTTTGTTTAGAAATAATTCTGTTTTTGTTTTTATTGTTTCACCATAATTTTATTTTACTTTCCTGTTTTATTTCAACAAACCCAGAATTAATTCCAAACAAAGAATTAATTCTAAAAAACAACAAGCAAGATAAAATCAGAATCAAATTTGAACATCAAAATCAGAATTATTTTTATGTTTTTCTTGTTTTGTTAGGAGTTTTTAAAATATTTAAATTTATTAAATCAGAAAAACATGAATTCCGCTCTTACCAAAATTTAAACGAAAAAGTAAAATATGTAATTTGCGGGCAATTAAAAACATAAAAAATTTTTAAATAAATTTATCTTAAGTCTGAATATTTTTTTTATTTTTTTTCTTCATTTAAGCTTTTCGTGCTCTAATTTTTCAAATTTTCCTTTATTTTTATAGCCATCACAAGTTTAACTTTTTTTCAAAAAAAGATTTCCGCGACCACACACTAAATTTTTTATTTTATTTATTTTTTTCTTCCACTTTTTACTCCTTAAGTAAATAAATACTTATTTTAAATCACTTTTTAAGCTTTTCTTTTGATTTTATCCATGTGTTTCCCCTTTGATGTTTTTGTTTTTGAGGAATGAGTTTTTTAAAGTTTTAGTGCCCAGAATTAAATAAAAACATGACCAGAATTTAAATACAACAAAACCAAAATTTAATCAAAACATTACCAGAATTTAATAAAAACATGACCAGAATTAAATTAAAACATAATCAGAATTTAATATAAACATGACTAGAATTAAATTAAAACATTACCAGAATTTAATCAAAACATGACCAGAATTAAATTAAAACATAATCAGAATTTAATATAAACATAGCCAGAATTTAATAAAAACATGACCAGAATTAAATAAAAACATAACCAGAATTTAAGTAAAACAAAACCAGAATTAAATTAAAACATGACCAGAATTAAATTAAAACATGACCAGAATTAAATTAAAACATGACCAGAATTAAATTAAAACAAGACCAGAATTCAAGTAAAACAAAACCAGAATTAAATTAAAGCATGACCAGAATTAAATTAAAACATCATCAGAATTTAAGTAAAACAAAACCAGAATTAAATAAAAACATGACCAGAAATTCATTAAAACATACCAGAATTAAAAACCAGAATTTGATAAAAACATAACCAGAATTAAAAACCAGAATTAAATTAAAACATAACCAGAAATTCATTAAAACAAAACCAGAATTAAATTAAAACATGACCAGAAATTCATTAAAACATGGCCAGAATTAAAAACCAGAATTTGATATAAACATAACCAGAATTAAAAACCAGAATTTAATATAAACATAACCAGAATTGAATTAAAACATAACCAGAATTTAATCAAAACATAACCAGAATTTAATCAAAACATAACCAGAATTTAATACAAACATGACCAGAATTTAATAAAAACATAACCAGAATTTAATCAAAACATAACCAGAATTTAATACAAACATGACCAGAATTTAATAAAAACATGACCAGAATTTAATAAAAACATAACCAGAATTTAATAAAAACTTGACCAGAATTTAATAAAAACATGACCAGAATTTAATAAAAACATAACCAGAATTTAATCAAAACATAACCAGAATTTAATACAAACATGACCAGAATTTAATAAAAACATAACCAGAATTTAATAAAAACATAACCAGAATTAAATTAAAACATGGCCAGAATTTAATATAAACATAACCAGAATTGAATTAAAACATAACCAGAATTTAATCAAAACATAACCAGAATTTAATACAAACATGACCAGAATTTAATAAAAACATGACCAGAATTTAATAAAAACATAACCAGAATTTAATCAAAACATAACCAGAATTTAATACAAACATGACCAGAATTTAATAAAAACATAACCAGAATTTAATAAAAACATAACCAAAATTAAATTAAAACATGGCCAGAATTTAATATAAACATAACCAGAATTTAATATATACATAACCAGAATTTAATAAAAACATGACCAGAATTAAATAAAAACAAGACCAGAATTAAATCAAAACATTATCAGAAATTCATTAAAACAAACCAGAATTATCTCTAAACAAACAGCAATTAAATCAGAGTTTTAAATTTAAAAAATTCAAAAATTTACGTATTATTATAAAAATATTTTTTCCGTATTAAATTTTATAAATTACAAAAAACCTGATTTTCTCGTGAAAATTGGAGGGATGATGATGTTTATGTACTTTTTAGCGAGCAAATTACTCAATTATATATTTTATTTTTGGATTTAAAAAATAGAGGAATGTGTGAGCAACATTTTTTAATATTTTTTGAAAAACAAAACAAACTTGGAATTGTAAAACTTTAATTGTAAAACCTAAAAAGAATTGTAAACACATTGAAATTTGAAAGTTTATCATAGTGTTTTACAATTATAATTTTTTAATTCTGATTCTGTTTTATTTAAATTCTGGTTTTAAAAACATGTTTATTTTCCAATGTTTTGATTTAATTCTGGTTTTAATTAATAAATGTTGTTTTTGCTTGTTTTAGATTAATTCTGATTTTGTTTTAATTGTATTCAAATCATCTTCATTTTTCTTTGTTGTAATTTAATTCTGATTTTATATTCAAAATTTATTCCCACTATGTTGCTATTTAAGTCTGACTTTAATCTATGTTTCCTCTAAAAATGTTTGTTTTTCTTTGTTTTAATTTTATTCTGATTTTGTTTTATTTAAATTCTGGTTTTAAAAATATTTTTATTTTCTTTGTTTTGATTTAATTCTGGTTCTTATCTAATAAATGTTGTTGTTTTTTGCTTGTTTTAGATTAATTCTGATTTTGTTTTAATTCTATTCAAAACATGTTTATTTTCCTTGTTTTAATTTAATTCTGATTCTGTTCTATTTGAATTCTGGTTGGTTTTAAAAACATATTTAATTTCCCTTGTTTTGATTTAATTCTGATTTTATATTTAAAATTTATTTTCTCTATGTTGCTATTTAATTCTGGTCTTAATTATGTTTCACTAAAAATGTTCGTTTGTCTTTGTTTTAATTTAATTCTGATTTGTTTCATTTAAATTCTGCTTTTAAAAACATGTTTATTTTCCCATGTTTTGATTTAATTCTGGTCTCAATCTAATAAAAGTTTGATTTAAACATGTTGTTCTTTTTTTGTTTTAGATTAATTCTGATCTTTTATTTAAATTCTGGTTTAAGTTTAAATGTTCTTTCTAAAAATGTTTGTTTGTCTTTGTTTTAATTTAATTCTGATTTTGTTTTAATATTTTTAAAACATGTTCAAATTATTATTTTACATGTTTAAATTATTAAATAAATGCCTCTTAAAATTTTTTCCTCCTTAATTTTTCATAATATTTATTTTTTTTATCTGTCTCGATTGCCGTTATTTTCCCACCAAAAAAATTTTCATAATTTATTTTTTGCTTAATATTTATTTTTTTTATAAAAATGTCAAACAATTTAATATAATTATTTTTATCGGCTTGACATTCCTTTTATTGTTGTTGTCTCTCAAACAATCAAAAAAACTTTTGGAAAAAAAAATAATTTTAGAGTGTGGGAACTTTTTTTGTTTTGTTTGTTAGCATTTTAAAAATAAATACATTTATTTTTTCTAGCACTCAGGATATATTTAAGTGAATGTGTTAGTTTCTACATGCTGTGAAGAGGACAACGAAAAAAGGAAAAGCACATTCATTATTTTGTTTTTAAATGACTGATTTTTAGGAAAAATAAAGGGAGAAAATAAAAAAAATTTTTTTTAAGTTTTTGCAATTGTTTTTGAGGGTTTTAGCGGATATTAAAGGATTTCTAGGAATTTTGAAGATTTATTATGATTTTTGAAGAATTTGGGGGGTTTTTTCTGATTTTTAACTATTTTTTCTAGTAATTGTAAAATCTTAAATTATTTGTTAACATGTTTCATGTCTATTATTATTTTGTTTTACAATTGTAATTTTATAAAAATATATTCTTATTATTGCTAGGTTTTCTATTAGAACATTATTGCTGTAATAAATTTAGAAGCAGCATATTACAAATTGTAATTTTATAAAACCAGAATTTTACAAATACTACTAAGTTTTACAATTACCTAGCTTTTACAATTCCAAGTTTTAAAAATTAAGTTTTACAATCCAAGTGTTAAAAATAAGTTTTACAATTCTAAGTTTCCAAAATAAGTTTCACAGTTCCAAGTTTTACAAAACAAGTTTTACAATTTTAGGTTTTAAAAAAAAGTTTTACAATTCCAAGTTTTAAAAATAAGTTTTACAATTCAACTTATAATTTCAAGTTTTTAAAATACTTCCAAGTTTTAGAGTTTTATTTACAGTTAAATTTTTACAATTAGGTTTTACAATTACTATGAATTATGTTTTTATTTAAAAATTACAACTTTTTATTTTACAATCATTTATATTCCTATTTTACTATTTTTACCTTATTTTACAAAAATTTAAGAAACTGTCTGTTTAATTTTTTTAAATTTAGCAAATAGTCGGTTATGTAATAACAATTTTTTCCTGATTTTTACGTACATAATAATTCATTTTTTATTTTTGAGTGAACATAAAATTTTGATATTATTTTATTTATTTTTAGACATTTTATCATTTTTATCTTTCAATATGAATTTATGAATTAAATAGAAAAAAACTACATACATTTATTTATTAATTAATTAAATGTCTTCTTTCTTTCGCCGTCATGTTCGTGGCCTTTTAAGAACAACATTTTCTGCTCCTCAATCAACTGAGACTGTAAATATAATTTAATTATTAAGTTTACAGCTAGAATATTTAAATTGTAAAATTAAAGTTGTAATTTTGTACAAACATAAATTTACAATCGAACAAAGTTTTACAATTAAAACTTTATGATTGTAATAATATAAAGCGACAAGTTTAAAATCAGAATATTACAAATTGTAATTTTATAAAAACATAATTTTACAATTGCTAATAGGTTTTACAATTCCAAGTTTTATAAATTAAAGTTGTACAATTTAAGTTTTACAATTAAGTTTTAGAATTCCAAGTTTTACAATTATAGGTTTTATAATTCCAAGTTTTAAATTAAGTTTTAAATTTAAGTTTTGCAATTAAGTTTTACATTTATGTTTTACAATTCCATGTTTTAAATTAAAGTTTTAAACTTAAGATTATAATCCCAAGTTTACACTTAAGTTTTACAATTATAACATTAAAATAAAAATATTCATCCAACAACTGAATTACAATTAATAAATACAATTTTACAATTATTATCAAGTTTTAAAAAATTGTACAAAAATTTTTACAAATTGTAAATTTTTTACAATTTCATTTCTAACAGATATCCTCAATCGCCACGAACAATGCTGATGACGATTTTGACAATCATGATGAATCTGAAGAGGAAAGATTGTTATTATCTCTAGACCATCGTCTTGGACCCGCTGGCACTTCCACAGAAAATAATTTTCAATCTAGGAATGGAAAGAAGAGACAGAGTGCTCCCGAAGTTTATTCTGTTGGTTTTCTGACAGAAATCCAAAATTAAAAAATTTTTTAATAGGGAAAGACCGGCCTCGATCTTCCTAATATTCATATTGGCCCGTTATCTATGCCTATAAAAGCGTGCCATACTGGACCTGAGGGGGGACTTACTTGTGTACAACCAATGAGGCAGAGGACGATTGCTAAGATGGCAAAGTTGGACGATGAAGAGTTTAGTCTTAGCTCGATGGACGAGGAGGTGGATGAAAGGGAGGAGGAAGAAGAGAATGAGGAGGTGAGGGAAGAGGAGAATGAAGAAGTGAAGGAAAGGGATGAAGAGAGGGAAGAAGAGAAGGAGGAAGAGGATGAAGGGAAGGAAGAAGAGAAGGAAGTTGGGGAAGAGAAGAAGGAAGAGGATGAAGAAGAGAATGAAGGGAAGGAAGTTGGGGAAGAATTGAAGGAGGGAAGAAGAGAGAATGGGGAAGAACGGGCCGAGGAGGAGATTGAAGAGAAGAGGGGAACTGGAGAGAAAAAGGGGACTGAAGTGAAAAATGAGGTGATTGAAGAGATGAATGGATTTAGGCCTGTGGATGAAGATCAGGAGGATCTCTCCGGAAGATACCAACAACAAACTCAATTGAATAAGCCTACTAAAGAAACAAAATTTTTGGAAGTCCCTAAGAAGGATAATAAAAAAATTAAAAGGACAACGAGAAAAAGTAGAGGAGGAGGAAAGGCATTAATCCAATCAGTGAGGAATTTAAAAATATTCCTGGTCTAAAATTTAAAATTTTAAAGGCCGATTCAATAGAAGCACTCGGCCTTGTTGGGGTTGACGACTTTTCCCCCTTCCGTAACGGGAGTGCTTTGGAACAACTTGATTGGTCAAGTTGGGATGAACACCGAGCTTTAGGACTTTCAACATCCTTGTATGAACGCCATCCAGTCAGTGGACTCCCTGCTGGACACCCAATTGCGGATGTTTTTGGAATTATTGCTAGGGAGAATAATGCTATATTGGCGTTGGCTGATGGAGTAAAGTGCGTGAAGAGTTTTAAAAAGAATTTGAAATCAGAATTTTAAAAATCAGAATTAGGAAAAATCAGAATTAAAAAAATCAGAATTCAAAAAATCAGAATTAGGAAAAATCAGAATTTAAAAAAATCAGAATTTCTAAAAATCAGAATCTCTGAAAATCAGAATTTGAAAAATCAGAATTAAAAAACTCAGAATTTCTGAAAATCAGAATTTCTAAAAATCATAATTTCTGAAAATCAGAATTTCTAAAATTCAGAATTTAAAATAATCAGAATTTCTAAAAATCAGAATTAAATAAAAATCAGAATCAAAAAAAAATTTTTTTTGCTTCAGTTGGGGTGATGGCGCTCGCCTTGCAGCACGTTGCGCAATTCGTGGGGCTATTGACCACTTGAATAATGCTATTGAACGTCAACAATTAAACACTACAAATGAAATTTTTCACTCAATGCTAGGAGCTTTTCATGCAGCACACGCACTTATATTACAAGAGGGTGGCGCTTTAACTACACTTTGTGTAGCATTTGTGGCGCCAGTTAAAGATTCAGATTCATCGGTAGTTAATTTTAAAGGAGAAAATAAAAAAAATCAGAATTAAATATGAACAAAAATAAAAACAAAATCAGAAATGAATAAAAACATGAATTAAAATCAGAATTTTAAAGAGCGTTAATAAAATATGAATTTAATTTAAACCATAATTAAATCTGAACAAAAAAACAAGTTTAAACAGAATTAAAACTAAATCAAATTTTATTAAAACCAGAATTAAATTTAAACAAAGAGAAGAAACATGTTTAGATGAGGCTCTTATTAATTTAAAACCAGAATTAAATCTGAACAAAAGAGAGAAACATGTTTGAATGAGTTTTTATTAATTTAAACTCAGAATTAAATCTGAACAAAAAAGAAAAACAAGTTTTAAAGGGAATTAAAACAGAATCAGAATTAAATTTAAACAAAAAATTGAAAACCAGAAATGAATAAAAACAGAAAATTAAAATCAGAATTTTATGGGTTAAATAAACCGGCTTAACAAAATCAGAATTAAATTTAAACAAAGACAGATAAACATGTTTAGACGAGGCTTTTATTAATTTAAAACCAGAATTAAATCAAAACAAAAGAAAAAAAACAAGTTTAAACAGAATTAAAACTAAATCAGAATTAAATAAAAACAAGAGAAAATAAACATGTTTAATAGAATTATAAAAAATCGGAATTAAATTACAACATTGTGTTTAGAATAAAAATCAGAATTTATCAAAATTAAAATGTAAAACAAAACAAGAGTAAACTTAAATACAAAACCAAAACATTGTTTGAATTAAAATCAGAATTAAATTTAAACAAAAGAGAAAAACAAGTTTTAAAGAGAATTTAAACAGAATCAGAATTAAATAAAAACAAGAGAAAATAAACATGTTTAAGAGAGTTATAAAAAATCAGAATTAAATTACAACATATAGTTAGTATAAAAAATCAGAATTTATCAGAATTAAAATTTTAAAACCAAAACAAAAACACACTTAAAACCAAAACATTGTTTAAATTAAAAATCAGAATTAAATTTAAACTTTAGGTACTCTGTGTTTGCAATGTTGGTGATTCTCTATGTTTTGTTTACAACCAAACACATGGCGTAAATGAAATAACTCTTGGTTCACACAATATTGCGCAAATGAGAGATATGCGCGACGCGGGAGGTATGGGGGAAATAAAAAATTTAATTTAAGAAAATATTTTTAGGCGCCCTCGGCCCTGTAGATGGTCGAAATCCTCAGCTTCACAATTTAACTTGTTCAATGACTTTTGTGGAAAAAGGGGATTTAGTCTTTATTACCTCAGATGGAATATCTGACAATTTCGATCCAGTTGTAGGCAAATTTTGCTCAATTAAAAGGCCACGGGATGAGGCGGAAGAGGAAGTAACTGAAACTATTACCAATGAAAAGGAGAATAATTTAACAACAAATAATCAGCAAAGAAACAAGTAAGAATTAAACCAGAATTAAATTAATACAATGAAAAAAAAACATGTTTTAGTTAGAGCAAAATAAAAACAGAATTAAATCAAAACAAAGGAAAAAACATGTTTAGTTTAAAACCAGAATTAAATAAAAACAAGAAAAATAAACATGTTTTAGAGCAAAACGAAACCAGAATTAAATCAAAACACAAGCAAATAAACATGTTTAGATAATGCATTAATTTAAAATCAGAATTAAATTAAAACAAAACAGGAAAAAATGTTTTAGTTAGACTAAAATAAAATCAGAATTAAATCAAAACATAGGTAGATAAACATGTTTAAATAATGCATTATTAAAACCAGAATTAAATAAGAACAAGAAAAATAAACATGTTTTACTTAGAGTAAAATAAAATCAGAATTAAATCAAAACAAGGCAAATAAACATGTTTAGATAATGCATTAATTTAAAACCAGAATTAAATTAAAACAAAGAAAAACAAACATGTTTTAGTTGAGCAAAACAAAATCAGAATTAATTCAAAACACAGAAAAATAAACATGTTTAGATGAAGCCTTTGTTAATTTTAAATCAGAATTAAATCAAAACACATGAAAGTTTTGGAAACAAAAAAATCAGAATTTAATTTGAACATGCACAGATAGATAATATAGAGTATAAAACCAGAATTAAATCGAAACAAAGAAAAAAACATGTTTAGGTTTAAAAACAGAATTAAATATAAACAAAATTATTTATCTCCTCTAGTACTTCTTCAACGCTTCTTCCCCCTCCATTTCACAAAACAAAATCAGCACCAGCTTCAAACATTGAAAACATTCGTAAACCAATTAACGGCACACATCAACACCTTTCACTACAAAATAAACCTCCATTACAAAATACAAATAATAATATTAATAATTTAATTCCTTCACCTCTTCGAGAAATGAAACGACGACAGCCGGCAGCAACTCTTCCCTTTGTTGATGCCCCGCAAAGGCATGAGCTTATGTTGTTGAGAATGAATGGTATTTTAATATAATAAAACAAAATCAGAATTAAATAAAAACATTGAAAAAATGATTTAGTTAGAATAAACCAGAATCAGAATTTAATTAAAACATTGGAAAATAAACATGTTTAGACGATATATACAAATCAGAATTAAATTATAACATTGAAAAATAAACATGTTTAGAAGAAATATAAAAATCAGAATTAAATTACAACATTGAAAAAAACATGTTTTGGTCAGAATAAAACAGACTCAGAATTAAATTAAAACAAAGTAACAAACATGTTCAGATGGAATATATAAATCAGAATTTAATAAAAACAAGAGAAAATAAACATGTTTACGACCAGAATTTAAATAAAACAAAATCAGAATTAGATCAAAACATTGGAAAATAAACATGTTTAGACTAAATATAAAAATCAGAATGAAATTACAACATTGAAAAAATGTTTTGGTTAGAATAAAACAAAATCAGAATTTAATTAAAACAAGTGAGAATAAACATGTTTACGACCAGAATTTAAATAAAACAAAATCAGAATTAGATCAAAACAAGGACAAACAAACATCTTTAAAATTAAACCAGAATTAAATTACAACACAAGTGTTAAATTATTAAAACAAGTCAGAATTGATTCAAAACATTGAAATGAACATGTTTAAGTCAAAATTTATTAAATTAAAACCAGAATTTAATTTAAACAAATCAGAATAATAAAATAATTCTGATTTTTAGATATCATTTCAAATGGCCTTTGTATTCCTCATGAACATCAACAAAATTCCCCACAAGAACGAAGGCAAATTAGCGCAGTTGAATTGTGCAACAATCTTGTCCAGTTTGCCTATAAATTATCATCTGCTAAAAGGCATACTTTAGAAGACCCAGAACTTTATCGAGTAAAAAATATTTTTTTTTAAATTAATTTTTAATCAATTTTATTTAATTCTAGACTCGAACACATTCCAGAACTGAAGAGAGATTAAGAAGAAAAATGATTAGGAACATGATTATGGAGTAAATATTTAATTTAAAAAATATTCTGAATTTTTTCTGATTTTTTCAGAATGCCTGGAAAACTCGATCACGCCTCTGTGGTTGCTTACCAAGTTGGAAGTGAATGGCCGACTACAACTGAAAGAGAAACTGATGAAAAAATAATTTTTGAAGAGTCGCCAATAAATAAATTAAAAATAGAGGATTTGGAGATTAAGGAGGAAAATAGAGAGGAAAATGTGTTTAATAATGCTATTAATCCAAATAAACAATCTGTTGCAGTTCAATGTTCATGGAGGCCCCCAACGGTGTTTATTTTCTGAATGTTTTGTTTTAGGGGAATTAATATTAGTGTAATTAAAATCAGAATTAATTTAAAACATGATCAGAATAAAAACAGAATAAAACTAAAAATTATCAGAATTAAATTAAAACATAATCAGAATTAAATTAAAACATAATCAGAATAAAACTAAAACATAACCAGAATTAATTTAAAACATAACCAGAATTAAATTAAAACATAACCAGAATTAAATTAAAACATAACCAGAATTAAATTAAAACAATCAGAATTAAATTAAAACAAAACCAGAATAAAACCAAAACATAATCAGAATTAAATTAAAACATAACCAGAATTAAATTGAAACATAACAGAATTAAATTGAAACATAACAGAATTAAATTAAAACATAATCAGAATTAAATTAAAACATAATCAGAATTAAATTAAAACATAACCAGAATAAAACTAAAACACATCAGAATAAAACTAAAACAAAATCAGAATAAAACTAAAACTTAATCAGAATTAAATTAAAACATAATCAGAATTAAATTAAAACATAATCAGAATTAAATTAAAACATAATCAGAATTAAATTAAAACATAACCAGAATTAGCTTAAAACATAATCAGAATTAAATTAAAACATAATCAGAATTAAATTAAAACATAACCAGAATTAGCTTAAAACATAATCAGAATTAAATTAAAACATAATCAGAATTAAATTTAAACAATTTATAGGCTCCATTTACGCGTTCATCTAAACATTCACAACAACACACACAAAATCAACAAACCTTAAATACAAACACAACACAAACAAAAACATTTAACACAATAAACATATCAAACAACATTATAAATAATCAACACAAACATCAAACAAACATTAAAGAGAAGAGGTGTTTGGCTGACTTATCCCCCTCCAAAATTGTTCCGGTAAAAACATTTGAAGGAAAGGATGTTTTGATTGGGTTAAAAATGAAGAAAAATGTTGAGAGGAATGTTGAGAGGAATGTTGAGAAAAATAGAGAAATAAATACGAATAAAAGTCCTTATGAAGAATTACCACGTTTTGGAGAAGGGGATGAAGAAGAAAATAGTCAAAGTGAAAATTATGAAAATAAAGAAATATTAAATGGAGATAAAGGGAGAAAAAGGTGATAAAATGATTAAATAACTAATTAAAAATTTAATTTAGTAAGCGTCATCATGGGAGAGGTTCTTTAGCTAGACATACACTAGGCGTTGATGTTAGTTGGTTAAAGCGCCTGGTAACAAACAAACATGGAATTTCAGAAGAAAACAACAACAAACATGAAAGCAACAAAGAAGAGAAAAACAACAAACAAAACAATAGACAGGAAAACAACAAACACGAAAACATCAAACAAAACAAACACGAGGACAACAAACACGAAAACAACAAACAAAACAAACACGAAAACAACAAACACGAAGACAACAAACATGAGAAAAACAACAAACACGAAGACAACAAACAAAACAACAAACAAGAGAAAAACATCAAACACGAAAACAACACGCAGGAAAACATTCTCAACAACAACAACAACAAACATTTAGATAATATCAGAACACAACAACACCAACATCAACACAAACATTCCCCTCCAACATTAAATAGAAGCAACAAACATGAGGAAGGAGAAACAACACGTTTTTCCTCAACATCCTCGACTTCCTCTACAAATTCACAAAAACAACAAAAACACAATCCTAGACTGGATTCTTTTGATTTAATAAATAAAAATTTAAAAAAGGGAACGTCAACAATTTCCTCTTTACGTAAAATTAAAGCAGCATTTGCTAGTAGACCAAGTTCAGAAAGACGCCAAATAATTACCAATAAAAACACTAATTTTATTTTAAATAAACAACCACCAAATACAACAAATTCTTTAATTGTTTCTGTTGATTTGAGTGGGAATTTGCAACAAAAATCATTACAACATCAAAGGTGTCGAATTTAATTAGAATGTTTTGTTTAGATTAATGTTTGTTTTGTTGAGACTGTGTTTTATGTTCGTTTGGGATAGTTTAATTCTGTTTCCAACTTTGTTTTTCAAACTTTGTTTAAGTAAAACTAAACCAGAATTTTATTTAAACCAGAATTTAATTAAAACCAGAATTTATAGAAATCGAGCTTTAAATGTTTAGATAGAATTCTGATTAGTTTTGAAACAAACATTAAATGTTCGAATAGAATTCTGGTTTTCTAAAACCGAATTTTAAATGTTTGGATAGAATTCTGATTTGTTTTAAACGAATATTATATGTTTAAATAAAATTCTGGTTTTTCCAAAACGAACTTTAAATGTTTAGATAGAATTCTAATTTGTTTTTGAATAAGAATATCAAATGTTTAAGTAAAATTCTGGTTTTTTAGAAACGAACCTTATTTAGATAGAATTCTGATTTGTTTTAGAAAACAAACTTTAAAAACAACGATAATTTTTAAATTGAAAAAGATGTTTGTTAATGTTTGGAAGTTTGTTTAGTTGTTTGTTTATGATGTTTATTTGTATTTTTGTTCTGGATGTTTGTTTGTTTTGTTTGTTGGTTTTTCAGATGTTTGTTTAAAATTCTGAATTTAAATGTTTTTGTTTATGTTTGTTTAAATGTTTGTTTTAATTATTTTTATCCAAATTTCTGAATTAAATCAGAATTTTTAGGTGTTTGGTTGTTTGATGTTTATTTGTTTTTTCTGATGTTTTTATGAGATTCTGAAATTTTCTAAATTTGTTTGGCTTGTTTGAATGTTTGTTTTAAATTTTATTTATTATTTGTTTGTTGCAACATGTTTTAATTTTATTTTTTTAATGTTCAGATCACTAAGTCAATGCTATTGCCGATCCATTCCACCTCCTCTTTCTTCAACCGATCTTGCAAAAATAAAAGAATCTTCAATTTCTAATTCATCACCTCCTTCCTCTGCTCCCCCAATACTAAATAATAAATTAAATCATCGTTTTATTCAAAATGGAAATTTAAAATTTAATTCAACAACTGATAAGAATATTGCTGTGCCAAGGATGGGGATTAGTGCTGGGGCTGGTGCCGTTAATTAATTAATTTTGAGAGAAATTTTAAAAGAAAATTTTATTAATTTTATTGCCATTATAATAATGCCATTGATACATTTATTTGTTCAAAATTGTTAGGCATATCATTTTTATCTTGTAATATTTTTTGGACTTCTCTTACAAATGTATACAATAGAGATTAGAGACAGGACCAGGGGTGAGCGTAAGAGCCAATCGTGAAAAACGCAACGCAAGGCCTCACCCCTGGGGGAGCAGGCCAGTATACCGCGAGCCCAGTATACCGCCGAGCTATAACTTTTTTCAAAATTGTCGAATCCGGGGAGCCCTGTTATGGTTCGATTTAGCTCGTTGAGGCTCATCTAACCATACCAGGGCCTCCCGGATTCGACAATTTTGAACTCAGTTATAGCTCGGCGGTATACTGGTACCCCATTCCTGGACCTGACCAAGACACAGTCTCGATAAAAAATCTCGGTTATCGAGATCGAGAATTTTTCAGGACCTCGATTCTCGTACAACACTAAAATTCCGGTCTCTACTAGAGATTGTTATCTCAGAAAATATCTCAGAAATTTTTTTCTCAGAAAATAACTCGATAACTTTATTTTTGTATTAGTATCGTTCTGATTTCTAATATATCACGAATGATCTTGCCGACATAAAATAAATTTTCGATTTCTAGAATAGGAAATCATGACGGAAAGATCTTTAATATGCACTAGGGATGGGTCAGATTGAGAAAAAATTGGGTCAAGTTTTCAGAATTTCCTTAGGATCGAGGAGAGGATTGAGTCACATTTACTACCATATATATTTTTATACCTATATTTTTGCCTCTCTTAATTTGCCAAAATCTACCGTATTTCCTCTATTAAAATGGCCCCCTCTAATAGAATGGCCCCATCTAATATAGTGGGCTCCTGGAGGATGATTGAAAAATAGAATTCTATTAGAGGAAATACGGTATTTTATAAATTTTTTCAGGTTGCTGCCACAAACCTAAACATCTTTTATTATGATTTTTCAAACTTTTTTTACTTAAATATATTTAAATTTCACAAAATTTACTTAAAAAATTACAAAAAAAAACTTTCATATTCATGATATTCTGCAATTTAAAAATTTTTAAAAATGCTTTTATTAAATTGATAACCTCTCTTTTTATTGTATTTTTAAAATATTATTTTACTTGTTGCTTTCAATATATATTTTTTAAATTTTGAATAAATTTTAATTTTTTTTCTTTAAAAATATTTTCGAGATTTTCTTTTCTTACAGAGTTGTCAAAACCAAAATTATACCTGGTTTCGGTAACGTTATCCTGGTTTCAGTAACGAGGGATTTTCTGGAATAAATACCGTCTCAGGACCTATTTTAATTGACCACTGATTACGTGCCACAGACTGCCAAATTTTTAAGCCTACCAGTTGAGGGAACTTTTTTAAAATATCCCGTTATTAGGAGGTGTATCTTTTATTTACTTTAACTTTATTTTATATCTCTCCGAAGCGAAAAGGAAAAAGGACACGAAAGTGCGAAACGAAATTTCGCCATCCCTGGTCAAATCGTCATACTACCCTACCCGTCTAGTTCTGATTATTAGAGACTTGCGAGATTCTTGGTCTTGAGTATCAACACAAGAATTTTCTTGGGGGTTTTTCGGTCTTTGGCAAGGTGCCACCAAGCAATGAGGGTGGGGGGTGGGGGGGGGGTTGGAGAGGATTCGAACTCCCAAATTTGTAATTCCAGGATTGCATCCAAAAATCATCCTATGCGTAAATTTAAAAAATTTATAGAAATAATTTACTAAAAATAAAAGAAAAAAATATAATGTAAAAATTAAAATTACATAACAAAAATATATAAATTAAAATTTATTTATTGGACAAATGGGGAAGAAAATATTCTTTATTTTTCTTATATTATTGTTGAAGTGTTAAGGAATCATGAAGGAGCATTTGAAAAAGCCAAGCCATCCACGCAAGCGTTCTTTTTCACTGAAAAAATAGATATGTGAGTCTTTATTCGTACTGATTATATTTCGAATTATAAATAAAATTTTATATATGCTATTCAGTCATGTCTTAGATTTATATTCTATTCGTACTGATTATATTTCGAAATATAAATAAATTTTATATATGCTATTCAGTCATGTCTTAGATTTATATTCTATTCGTACTGATTATATTTCGAAATATAAATAAAATTTTATATATGCTATTCAGTCATGTCTTAGATTTATATTCTATTCGTACTGATTATATTTCGAAATATAAATAAAATTTTATATATGCTATACAGTCATGTCTAAGATTTATATTCTATTCGTACTGATTATATTTCGAAATATAAATAAGTTTATATCTGCTATTCAGTCATGTCTATAGATTGATTATGCCTTCTTCTCTAGCTCTTCGGCGCTATTTCTGTAGTTCTTAGGGTTCTCAAATTGGATTTATAAGGATTATTTATCTTCTATAGATTGATTATGGCTCTTTTTTAACTCTTAGGCGTTATTTCTTAGTTCATATGTTCCTGATACTGGATTTATAGGGATTATTTATCTTCTATAGATTGATTATGCCTTCTTCTCTAGCTCTTCGGTGCAAAAATTGAGAATGAGATTATAAGTGAAACAAATAAAATAATAAAGTATAGAAATTTTTTATCATAAAGAAATTTAGGATTTTAAAAAGAGCGAAGAGAAATTAGTAAAAATAAGTCAATGGATTATGTTATAAGTTTAAAAAAATAAGATATAGATGATTGGCGGATGAGATGATGTGATTGGTGGATGAGATTGTAGATTTATTTATTTAGATGATGGATTTATATTGTATTATTACACATTTCATTTACTCGAGAATTCTTTTACTCGAGAAATTTTGTAGATTATTTATAAATTATATTTATTTTCTATTTGGATAAATTATATTTCGTAAAATAATAAAATTTTCGTAAAAGAAATAAGAATTCTGTAGATTTATTTATTCAGAAGATAGACTTATATTGAATTATTCCACATTCTTATGCTCGAAAGAAATAAAAGTTTATTTGCATTTATTTTTTTAGAGGATGGACTTATATTGTATTATTCCACATTCTTTTGCTCGATAATTTTTTTACTTGAGAAATTTTGTAGATTATTTATAAATTGTATTTATTTTCTATTTGGATAAATTATATTTTGTAAAAGAAATAAGAATTCTGTAGATTTATTTATTCAGAAGATAGACTTATATTGAATTATTCCACATTCTTTTGCTCGAGAGAAATAAAAGTTTATTTGCATTTATTTTTTTAGAGGATGGACTTATATTGTATTATTCCACATTCTTTTGCTCGATAATTTTTTTACTTGAGAAATTTTGTAGATTATTTATAAATTATATTTATTTTCTATTTGGATAAATTATATTTCGTAAAATAATAAAATTTTCGTAAAAGAAATAAGAATTCTGTAGATTTATTTATTCAGAAGATAGACATATTGAATTATTCCACATTCTTTTGCTCGAGAGAAATAAAAGTTTATTTGCATTTATTTTTTTAGAGGGCGGGATCCCGCGAGATTAATTCCGTAAATTCAGTTAATCCTGTTTCTGCGCAAAACCCGGGATCCCGCGACGGGATGTATAAAATGGAGTAAATTTTTCTGAAAAAGTTCAATTTCGTTAACTTTTAGGATAAGATATGGTTCATGATTACAAAACGATAAAATATTTTAAATATCAAAAATATAAAGCGAAAATTTTAGGTTACTAAATATTTTAACATTACTAAAAAATAAAAAATGAATTACTGCTCAAGAATTAGTGTTTCGCCAGAACCGTTCTGAGCCTGAAACGGAACCGGAACTTTCGCGAAGCACTAGAGTATATAGCCGATGAATTCAAAAAAATCAATTGCGAAATAATTCATTTTATAGAGAGCATGGCAACAAACCCAGCCTGAATTTGATTGTAAATTATATAAACGGAAAGGTAAGAGTTTTATCTACTCGAGATGGTTATAACAGTTATTTTGTTGCCCGAAATATGAAATGGTTTGGTTTTGTATGTGACGTATATTATGGAATATATGCCCAACCTGCTTTATCTGAAACGCCTTATTCTATTATACAATATTATTCACAAAGATTTCCTTGGAAGAATATAATGATAAAATTATTTCTCTTTATATAAAAATGTTATTTTTCGTAAAACGTAAAATTTAAAGTATACTGAATACAGCTACCGGAATTTTGCTACCTGAAATCTTGCTCTTAGGATATATCTCTGGAATTTTGCTCTGACACAGAAACTTAGTTTCAAGTTGAAAATTACTCTGTGTCTTGAAATTTTACCTCTGTAGGAATGTTTTTGAGAACACCTTTCGCTGGCTTGAAAGCTCCCCCCCCCATAATTATATTAATAATGTTAGTTCATACTCCATACTTATATTAATAAGAGGGAGACGGGGAAATTATACTTTTTAATATTTAATTTATCGAATAAATTTATTATACTAGTTGTTCATGCAAAAATTAGGAAATTTAAATTTAATATAACATATTTGCTCTAATAGAATGGCCTCTCTATTAGAATGACCCCCTAAATAGCCCTTTTATTACAAAGTATGAAAATGCATTTCTTTATTTCCTGTCATTTCATTAAATCTGTGGTCAGAAAAGGCAATTACAAAGAGTATTGAGAGGATTGAGAGAGCTATCAAGAACTTATAACTATTTACTGAAGATTACCTCTATCAAGGGACTAATAGAATTAAGGTTAGATATTTAGGGCTTTGAAGAATCAATCGATAGATCAAGGACTTGAAGGGGTTATTAAGCATGTTTATGAATAGACTAGCAGGGAGTGGCATCATAAATTTTGTGAGATAGGATTTGGAGAAATTTTGTATTTCAATTTTACATCACTTTTGATCTAACTATAAATTGAGCCTGTTCTATGAGAGTTGACAATATAATCTTTATGCACCTTATGTAACACATATGATTAATGAAAACGTTTCGGGTCATA